GCACCGCTGGGCTCTGCCAGCGCACGGAGCGGCTGCTAAGAACACCGAGTGCTACGCACCGAGTGCACTCAGCACCCTGCTAGTGCCAGCCCAGGGGCGCAAGGTCCACACCAGGGCACAGCAGGCCCAGTGCTCAGCCCTGCCTCGACGCCACACCTCAGCGGGACTGTCACACACCCGGCTAGGTGGCAGGAAGGCCTTTACCCGCAGCTGTGTCTTTTGACCACTAGAGGCCACTGTGGAGCTTCTGCCCCTCGCCCTGCAGGCTCAGGGCCGGGCTAGAGCACCACCAGGCTGGCCCCAGGCTCCCTGCAGCCCCCCATCCCCAGGAGCCTGCTAATTCCCAGTTGTATCAGCTGCCAGTGACCCACCCCAACAAGCTGCCTGAGGTCGTGCAGCCCCGTGACTGCTCCTTCTGCCCCACTGCTCAGGGAGGGACTTGGTGGTTCTAGTGACATGCAAATTACTTGCAAAATGTAACTTAACTCGCTAGCTCATTTGCACAAGATGACCGAGGTGGGGTAGGGCAGTGGCTGCATCTGAGCCCCCGGGGACGGGCTGTAGCCATGACACACACAAGGCTGCAGCTGACCCCAGCCAGGAAGCTGGTGCAGAAACAGGGTCTCTCGTGGGTCTCTCCCCGATCCAGGAGCTTGTTGGATTTTGGGTGGCGTTCAAGGGGGTTGAGTTTGGCTCTAAGCCTTCAACTGCCTGAGAGCTGCCTACCAGAGAGTCAGTCCCCTCGAATTCCTAGGAGAGAGAGGGGTGTGGGGGGGGAACAGGGGGGAGACACTGGAGCCCACATCCCTCCCCACAGTCTGCCTGAGTTTGCTGCCCTGGCTTTGAGGCATGTTGCAGACCTGGGGGAGGAAGAGAGGAGCAGGCAATGCCTTGGCATCTGGGGGAAGCCGGGCCGTTCCCTCTGGAGCAGCTGCTGGCTCTCTTTGGGAAGGGCTGGGATGTGTAGAGGGGCCCGGAGCCCAGCGCAGGTGTGTGCTCTCCTGGCGCAGAGCTGCTATCAGTCACGCAATGGCACTGAATGCCAGCCCACCAGCCCCACCGGACAGTTGACATTGCTGAAGAAGGTGGGTTCTGGCTGCACGGTGGGTGTATGGGGCAGGCAGGCTCCCAAGCTAGGGAGCTGGATGGACAGACAGGTACATGACTGTCCCTGGTGCCCTTTGAGCCCCGCACCGGGACCACATCCCCAGCTGCTGCCAGGTCAAGGAGCAGTCGGCAGGCAGGTGGCACATGCCCCACCTGCCCCAGCCCCCTAGAGAGGACTCTGCCCATCCAGACTGGGCTGGTGGCCCCGACTCTGCTGAGCATGCTGCGGGCCACCTGCAGAGAGCACCGGAGGGAGGCATTTCTCTGCTCCTCGATGCTGGCACTCAGCCAGAGCCTCTCCCAGTTCCTCCTCCTCCCCCCCCCACCCCGCTGCGGAAGGGCTCCAAGCACGCTCAGACCCTGAAATAGGCTCCCCAGCCCCCCAGGGAGCAGACTGCCCCTCCCCCAGCGCTGCAGCCCACGCTCACCGGAATGCGCCATTCTCCTTGGCCTTGCCCAGCCAGCTCAGGGAAGTCTCGGAGGGGTCCATGCAGCCAGGCAGGGCCAGGGAAGGGCTGCTCCTCCCGTACGAAGGGAACTCCTCGGACTCGGCCTTGGCCAGGGTCATGGACTTGGAGGGGCCGATCCTTCCCCCGGAGAGGAACTCACTGGAGATGGCTTTGGGGAGGCTCACGGGTCTGGGGGACGAGCCACTTCTCCCCCCGGAGATGTAGTCACTGGACTCTGCCTTGGGGAGTGGCTCTTTCCGCTCCACAGGGAGCATCTTCCCGGAGGGCCCTTGATCCAGGGGGCAGAGTTCGGGGAGCGCGGATCGGCTGGGCGACTGGCTGGGGTGGGAGGAGGGGCTGCCGGCGCCCGGGGACAGCGGGCGGAACTCCACCGGGGACAGCAGGGTGAAGAGCTGGACTCCACCTGAGCCGTCGGGCTGGGCTCTGCTGCTCTCCAGCGCCTGGGGCTGGCTGTGCCTGCCCGGGGACCTCTCCTCGGGCCCCACGTGCTGGGAGCCCTCGGGCTGCGAGCGAGGGGAGACGGGATGGAAAGGGTCAAAGAGGGTGTCGGGCCTGGAGCCCCTGTGCCCCAGGGGGAGGGTCCCCCCAGTGTACGCTGCTGAGATGGGCCCACTGGAGCCCTCTGGCTGGAACCGAACTGAGCCCTCTGCACCGAACGGGGCCACAAGAGGAGCAAATGGTCCCGGGGAGGTAGCGGTAATGGAGCCCCGTGGCGATAGAGACGGGGCCCCCATGGCTGAGGCCGGTCCCTGGTCCTTGTTCCCACGGTGAGCTGGCTCCATCTGAAAGAGAGAGAACAGACAGGGAGTGCGTGAGCCCCTGGGACGCTGTCCCTGCACCCTGAGACACACTCATTCTAGGGATGTCCCACTTCCAGGGGCACCCGAGACGCGCTCCTTCCAGAGACGCCCCCTCTCAGAGATGCCCCCCTTCCCGGGACACCCTGAGACACCCCCTTCCAGGGATGCCCCCTCCCAGAGACACCCCCCTTCCAGCGGGACTTGGCCTAGCAGTTCCGGGCACCCAGCCCAAGGGGGCCAAGCTCTCAGCTCTTAGGGACAATCAGGCCCCCTGGGAACAGCTTGGCCTCGGTGTCCGATGTGAGGCCGCTTCGTGTGAAAAGCATCAACCTTGGGAACCCAGTTCCTGTCTGGCTTTCTGCGCTGTGGGGCTGACGGGATGTCCCACCTGCCGGCAGGGGGCTGGGCAGCGAGTCGCTGGCACCTGGGGAGCGAGGCACCGTTCTCCCTCCATGGAGCCCTGCACTCACATGGCCCCTCCATGCCCTTCATTTCCCCTCTCCAGCCCGGCTCAGACTTGCTGACACTTGCACTGTTCCTGTAACCCTTCCCATACCGGGGACCCCGCTTTGGGGCTGCTGGCCCATCGGGCACGGGACCCCACGGCCGCTTGGCTCCCTCCAAAGGCAGGGGCTGCTTTTCACCCCAGGAACGTCTGCCGTTGCTGGCAGGAAGGGGAAGAGGAAGAGGCCGGCTGGCTCTTGGGTAACACGGGTGCTGGGTGTCAGCTCGGGCAGCGCTCGCAGCAGAGCGGGGGCACCATGACGGGCCAAGCTACTGGAGCCGCCAGAGCCTGGCTCAAAGCAATGAAATCCCCCCATGGGGCTCAGAGCTGGGGGGCACTGGACAGCAGAGCCAGCCAGACCCTCCACATCACCAGGCTCTTTCCTGCCCCGGGGCAGAGCTGTCCCGCTGGGGAGCGACAGGCAGGTCTCCTGGGGGGACCCAGCCCCCCAGCTCCCCCCAACCTCCCCCGCCTCTCCAGAGCTCTGGCTCCTCCACTAACTGGCCATGAAAATAGCTCAGCCCAGGCCCCCGCCTTCCCCCGGCCTGGGGGCGGCGGGGGAGAAACCAGCCATCATTTGACTCACCTGCCAAAGCCAGCGAGTCTGTCACCGGGTGGGCGAGAGGTCGGCTGGTGCTGCCAGCGGGAAGCAGCTCCCCCGCCTGGGCCACAGGTGCGTGGGACCCCGGCCAGGCCAGCCGGCCCCTCCCGCAGGTGTGCGAGGGACCGGAGCCGGAGGGCAGCCTGGGGTCATCGGACTAACAGTCCTAGCAGCACTGCCCCAGCCCAGGGCCCCGGCCTCACTCGCCCGCAGGGCTCCAGGGGCAGCCCGTCCCCGGGGCGCACGGCCCGTCCCCGGGGCGCACGGCTGGTCCGAGCGGGGACCGGCACTCGGGGGCAGCGCTCCCGGCTCTTGCGAGGAGGCTCCATTTCCCCCGGCTCAGGTGCGCCCGGGCTGCCCGCGGGACTTACCTTGCGGTGGCTGCCGCAGGGCTCTGCCCCAGCCTGCGGGCCGGCGGTTCTGCTCCTCCCCGGCCCCGGCCTCCGGCTGCTGCGGCTCGGCTGCTCCATCGCTGCCTCCCCGATGATGCTCTCAGCTCCCTCCTGCAGCCCAGGGACTCAGTGATGTCATCAGCCCCGCAACCTGCCGGCGGATTTAAAGGCGCAGGAGCCCATCAGGGTGCCACCGAGCGCTGCCAGCCAGGAGGGCAGCCGGCTGGGCTAGCAGAAAGGGGGCGCTGGGAGCCCTTTGCCCTGCCCCGGGCTGGCACAGCGGCCACCTCAGGTTCTGCTCCCCGGGGGAGGGCACCCGCTGCCGCTCTGCCCCACTGGCACGGGACTGTCGGAGACGCTGAGCTGAGCAGGCACTGGGGGCCCCTCTGGGGTTCTCGGGGGCATCGGCATTTAGCAGAGCGGGGCCGGTCCCGGCGCTGTCGGCAGGACTGGCAGAGCTCGGAGTCCCACACTGGCCGGGAGCTGGGGCCTCATCACACCCCGGGCTCTGCGCAGAACAGGGTGTCAGGGGCAAAACTCGCCCCCATCAGACGCACGTGGCACTAGGGGGCGCTGTGCTGTACGGAGAGGGGTGGGGGCTTAGTAGGGGGCATTCCCCTTGCAGCCAGTGCTGACCCCATTGCCGCAGTGGGGCACTAGGAGGCGCTGTGATGCAGGTTGGCAGAGGATTGCCAAGCTGGCCACGACCCCCCTGGGCCCACCCCAGAAGGGGCAGGGAGACCCTGTTGGACCAGCTGAAGCAGGAGCCCCCGATGCCCCTGGAGATGGGGGGTGAAGAGGCTGTGACGCTGCGCAGTAGGGAGCAGGGCGGACTGACCTGGGAATGTCGTCTAGTTTTACTGGGACTGTCTGCATGGGGGCTGCGAGAGCAGGGGGTGACTTCACTTGAGGGACGATACCCGAGCCTATAACCTGAGCCGGGAGGGGGCTGGGGCCAGGTGACACCTTCGGTCAGGGAAACTGGACAAAGGCTGGAGGAGGAGCCGGGGGGAGGCTGGAAGGAGACGGCTGCGGTGGAGTTTCAGTTTGGAGCTGGCTGGGGAAACGGAGGGAACCCCAGGGTTGGGGTCTAAGCTCCCTGCTCCCCAGAGGGACCTGACTGAGGGGTCCTAGTTGTACCTACAAGCTCTACTTGGGACTGTGTTCAATAAACCCAGAGGCCAGCACCCAGCATGTCCTATTAGCACCATGTGGGTCCGGAAGACCCCACCCAGTTGGTCACCTGGACCTTCTGCTTGGGGTCTGCTCAGCAGCATCCTACATCTGTGTCCCTGGCGTGTGGCTCCCATGGATGACCCTGCCCCCCTCCCCCAGCCACACACGTGTCATGCCCACCCGGCCCCATCGTGTGCCACGCACACACGTGCTGCGTCTCATATCTCCCACGTGCACCCCACCCACACTGAGGGCATCTGGGCAGCAGCCGAGGGCAGGATCGTGCCTTCACTGCAGGCTTGGCGTTAAAGAGATGCGCCCAGATGTGACGAGCATGAAGGGAATCGAATCGGAGCCCCAAACAGAGCCCCCACCCCGCCCCAGCCCCCACCCTGCACCTGGCCCACCTGAGCACTGCGCTGCCCTGCTCCCAGCACAGGTGGGAATGGCCTGCCCTCTGGTGGCCACTTCTAACAGTGCAGCCTGGCCACTGCTGCCAGACACCGAGACTCCCCCAGGTTCCCCCCAGGGAGCAGCCTGGACCCTGGGCTTGTCGTGGGCAGTGGTCATGGTGCTGGAACAATGTGTGTAGTGCGGGGGGGGCGGGGGCTGAGAGCCATTGAACCAAACTGTGAACCCTGCATATGCTGGAAACCACTTCAAGCCAGGGGGTGCTGCAGCACCCCAATACCCCAATGCCAGCAGCTATGGGCGTGGGGCCAGGGCTGGCAGCTCGGGAGCATGGGATGCTGCAGGCTCCTCTGTGCCTTTGGGGCTGACGATGTGCAGCGACCTTGACCTGTTCCCCGGGATGCTGGGGGCTGTTAGTGGGGTGGCTGCTGGCTACCAAGGGCCTGATCTGAGCCTTTCCTCCTTTAGCCTCCAGACCATGGAGCCGGGAAAGGTACCAGTCTCCTCCCTTTGCCCACGACTGCCCACTGGCCCTGTCACACCCTTGGCCTCAGCTTTCCCTCACTGCCCCGGTCCCTCCCCACACCCTGCCATCCGAGTCCGTGCCCGTCCGAGCCAGCACCCCATCCCACTCCCTCCACTGAGATGGGTGGAACAGTTCTTGGGGGTGCTATGAGATTCCCAGGCAGGAGCCTCAGGTTTGGTTAACAAGCTGCATTAAAAGCAGAAGCGACGCTCAGAGGACAAGGAGGGGCCCACAGTGCCCAGCCAGGCTGGCACACTGAGTGGTCCGGCCAGGCAGGCGCACCATGGGGCGGTGAAAGGAATCCCCCTTTCTGCCATGTGCCGAGAGCACATTTCTCGTCTCCCCTCCTGTGACCCACTTAGCCTCCCAATCCTAGCTGTGTGCTGACAGCAGCGCAGCCTCTCAGCGCCTCTCGGCTCCTTCCGCTCAGGTTCCTTTGATGTGCCTGGCTTGGCTCAGCACACACAGCCGGCATCTCCCCCAAACTCATGCAGGAGACAGGGCAGGTTCCACAGGGCTGGATCCTCTGCAGGTGGAAATCAGCAACACTCCTCTGAAAGCTTTGCACCAGCCACGGGTCTGGCCCCCAGTCTCGTTAACTTCCTGTCAAATGTCGCTGCTCCCGAGCCTGGCACCCACCTGGACCCAGGCGCGGTCCGGCTGGTCCAGAGAGTTCTCACGAGAATCCCTCCTCAGCAGCATTTCTCCTCGCTACGAAATACTAACCACCGAGAGCTGAACAAGCAACCACTTCCCCGACCCTTCAGCAACTCTGCCCAGGGCCTAACGCCGCAGCCTGGCGGGGGTTAACGTTCGCTTCAATCAGCGCTTCTCACACGGGGGGTCCCGACCCAAAAGGGGTCACAAGGCAATTGCAGGGGGGTCGTGAGATCACCAAACATATTGCCAGGGTGATGGGGAGCTCGAGGGGGAGAGGGGGTACAGCAGCTGCTCCCCGGCCACCCAGCTGTAAAGGCAGCGCCACCACCAGCAGCAGCAGAGAAGTAAGGGAGGCAATACCATGAGTATGCTCCTAGGAGTATGTACAGTAACTTGCTATCTCTTGTGTGTGTGTGTATGGGGGGCGGCGGGGGAACGCCACATCCTTAAATATTTTCCAAAGGAGGCCCAGCAAAAAAAGGTCTGAGCCCCCCTGGCCTAATCATCATGGCCCTAAAACAGGGATTGTTCTCAGACTACAAAGGTCTCCCTTGGAGTCACCCCTCCCCCAGCACAGCCGCCCTCGCGCCACACAGGGCACTGCAGTCAGTAGTGGCACGGGTGGAACCGCGCCCCGCACTGGGCCACCTCCTGCTGCCGTCAGCACAGGGCTCCCTGGGACCGTCCGGCGGCACTGGGCTCAGCATTGAC